TAGACAATTAGGAACGTGCCAACTAACTTAAAATCATGGGGGGGATAGGATAGGATGTGGGAAGATGAAAAAGGAAGAGTCAAAGAAGAGAAAGATAAACAAAGGTTCTGAGCTGTGTACTTAATCTAACTTTATGGTTCCTAGTCACAAGGTACACAAACCATCCCAACTCATGCACATGTAAGTATGCCCACACAGAGGGACCGGGAAGAAATGGCCGCCATACAGACCAGATGCTCTTGGGAGTCACGGGGACTGAGGAAAGGCGCAGCAATTTGGGTTGGTTGAGAACTTGGAGTCTTCCTTCTCTGTCAGTCTGTGTCTCTTCTGTTCCTCTGTCTCCCAGGCCACATTTTGAATCACCCTCTTGGCAATTGTCCCTAGCTGCTTTAATGTCACGACAGTCCTGTTGTGGTCTCTACCACATCTGAGAATTGTTTCTGTCTTATTTTGTGTTTGTTCAATGGCTCCCAGTGAGCTAGCTAGGGCATGAAAAGAAATTGAAGATCCCATTTAAAAAAAAAAAGAGTTTTACCCTTGATAATTCAATTATATCTGGAGGAATAGATGGAAGGACAGAGGAGAAGAAAGGAGGGAGAGGAGAGAGAGAGAGAGAGAGAGAGAGAGAGAGAGAGAGAGAGAGAGAGAGAATATAAACAAGCATGTCCAGTGTATGTCTATACTTCTGTCTGTGTAGTCTGATATAGCCGACTGGTTGCCCTTGGGTCTAGCATCCACCCAAGGACTCTGAGCATTGGTATGAGTAGCTGGGCTTTAACAGTCACATGGGGCCACTTCAGGGCTGTGATCAGGGCAAACCCTGAAGACATGCTTGTTACAGTACTTCCTTCAATTCATTCTTTGTCACTAGGGAGTGTTAAAAAATGTATTAACTTAATGGCTCAATTCATTTTAAAACCCTTCATTTGGTTCCTTGTCTTAATAGTAATTCCTTCACATGGTTCATGTGGGAAGGATGGGAAGGGTGTTAAAATGGGGAAAATAGAATAGGAATAACCAGAAGCAAAACTGAATACTGGGGCCCTGGATTCTGCTTTGTCGGTCATATGGCTGTGGCCACAGCTTTTGCTCTCTAACAACACTGTTAGATGAACTCTATCACATTCTGCTTTAAGACGCTCAATTTTTTTGATTCTTCACTGTAATACTGGGCACAGAAACCCAGGAGGACACATTGCTTTTAGGCCCTCATGGGTGGGGATGCTAGGTGGCGTGTGATGGAGAAAACTTCTCCTCTCACAGACAGAAAGAAAAGGAGGAAGAGGAAGAGGTCAGGGTCCCCCCATCTCCTTCAAGTGCATGCCCCCAATGACCTAGGAACCACACAGAAGGGCACAGAAGGCCCCAACTTCTAGCTCTTACCTGCCTCCCAGTAGCATTACCCTGGGCACATGTGCCTTTGGGGGACAGTCATCAGAATCCAGGTTCCATTCCTGGTATCCCCACGGTGGTTCACAACTGTCTAGAAGTACAGTTCCAGGGGTATGACACCTTTTTTAAACATACAAAGGCTCTTGTACACATGTGGTACAAGTACATACACACAGGCACCCCCCCCCAGAATTACAGTAAACCAACTTACTTCCTATTAATTGTTAAGAAGTAAAATTGAGAAATCATCATCTGTAGAGGGCTCTGTGTAGACAGTCCTGACCAATGTGACATTGTAAACAAACAAACGAAACAACACACTTATGTGCCCTTCTGGGGTTTGATAATAATAAAATGATTTAACTAGGATTCTGAAACCTTTTTTCAAAAGAATTCCAAAGTCTGCTTTTGAGTCTATTCTATTTTTTTGCCTCATGAGTGAATGGTAAGTGCTAAAATAGTTTTAGCCCCAAACAAACTTCAGGACTTACCTCCAAGAAGAAATGGACCATTTCCATGAACAGATGGCCACCTAGCAGCTCACAACAGTCATTGGGGAGGGTGGACGAAACAGTGTGTCAACAATGCACTGTCTCGATGATCACAATGGATCCAACTTAAGAGGCTCAAGTTGCAGGTTTGAAAGCACTTTATTCTGTGCACTGAACAATGTGCTATGTCCCTGAGGTCACCGGCGGCATCCGTCACTTTAACAAATTCAAACTCATCCAGAGGTGCAGACTGAAGTTTGTGGCTACATGGCAGGCCGCTTGTGCTAGCTAGTGTTTGTGTCAGCCACACACTCCAAAGTCTTTGGAGAGAGGAGCTTCAATCGAGAAAATGCCTCCGTGAGATCAGGCTGTAGGCAAGCCTGTAAGACATTTTCTTACTGGTGATTGATGGGGGAGGGCCTAGCCCTTTGTAACCAGCACCATACTGGCTGGTGGTCCTGGGGCTATGAGAAAGCAGGCTGGGCAAACCACAGGGAGAAAGGCAGCAGGTGGCACTCCTGGATGGCCTCTGCATCCGCTCCTGATTCCAGGTTCTTTCCCCGTTGGAGTTCCTGTCTTGACGTCCCTCAGTGATGGACTGTGCCCTGAGAGTTGTAAGCTGAAATAAACCCTTTCCTCTCTGACTTGGTTTTTCTCATAGTGTTTCATCCCAGCAACAGGAACCCTATTCAAGACACTACGCAAAAATTCTTACATTTGCTATCACACTTGCTTAACCCATCTACCTTCTGGCTCACTTCAAGCATGGTGGCTCATGCCTTTAATCCCAGCACGAGGGAGGCAGGGGTAGGTGGATCTCTGTGAGTTCCAGGCCTGCCTGGTCTACAGAGAAACCCTGTCTCGCAAAACAAAACAAACAAACTAAATAAATAAATAAATAAATAGCATGCTACCAAGCCTTCTCTTCCACAGGGTAGCCTTTTCCCTCTTCTCATTCAATACACTAGGAAGCTGTTCCTGCCTCACAGAGGCTAGTCTTTATTAGAGGGACAGCTGATGATGTATAATCACTGTACCCCATTTCCAGATCTATTAGTTATGTCTGGCTACTCTGCTACATGATATGTGTCCATTGCAGACATCATGACTTTCTCATGTTTGTATTTCCAACATCTACCACAACACTGACCACATAATCAGTTAATAATGACTTAGAGAAATGATTGCATTGATGGCTGGGGTGGGGTGTAGAGCTGGAGAACGGATAGTGACCATCTCGTAAGAACTTTTATTCTGGTGTTTTTTTTATAGCAGTAAAATGCTATACATTAGCAATGAGAATACATAAGAACCCAACATTTTCTGAATACTAGTGCCTGGAATCAGAAAACGCTGTGTAGAAAATATTTATCCTACTGTTGCTTGAGGAAAAGAGAAAAATCTGGTTTAAATAGGAGAAGATGAGAAGGGACCGAGGAAAGAGAATCCCACCTCAGGCCAGTGAGATGTTAGATTAGATAAAAAGACTTGCCACCAGTCCTGGAAACCAAGTTTGATCCTCAAAATTGACATGGTAGAAAGAGAGAACTTGACTCTCACAAGTTGCCTTCTGACCTACACACATGGTATGCATACATTGCACACACACACACACACGCACACACACAAATAAATAAAATAAATGGAATACAAATTTTAAAGTAGAGTCGCATACCCCAAGTGACTGTAGGTGTTGGCCCCACCTCTGTCTACCCAGGTGTAGTTGAATTTCAAAGCACATGAGCTTCTTGCCTCTGATGTGTTTCTACCATAGACGAGGCCCTGACACAGGTAGACAGGGAAGGAGCAGAGGCATAATGAAAATAAAGGGTATCTCAGTATGTGTGCGGTTTGGAAGAAGATGAAATGAAGTTGCTGAGGGTTGAATTGTGCCCCCCTATTCATATGCTGAGGTCCTAACCCTCAGCACCTCATCTTGTGGTCTTATGAGGCCATTTGGGAGTAATCCAAGAGCATAGTCACTCTAAAATAAAGAAGGAAAATTTGGACATAGTAACAAATGTAGAAAGAAAACCACTTGAATATGATGAGGGTCATCTATAACCAAGAAGGGAAGCATGGAGCAGATCGTCCCCTCAGGCTGGAGGTGGGTCGGGGTAAAGGACCCAACTCACCCATCTCTGGTTCTCAGACTCCCGCATCCAGACCGGAGACAAATCGTCTGAGCAGTCTCGTCTGTGGTACTTTGTCATGGATGCTCTAGCAAATGAAAAGAGGAACGGAAGAGCTCTGTAAACAGGTGAAACAACGAAGTCAGAGGAGAGGGCAGTGAGTTAGTTCCCGGCGCCTGCCAGCAGGTGGGGCTGTTGATTGGAACAGCTTTCTGTGGAAGCAGGGCAAAAAAGTTAGTCTGGGTGGATCTTTCTAACTTGGCAAGTGTTCTTTTCTCAAGTGAGAGAGACAAGGAGCCAGGCTGCAATAACCGCGGAGCTTGCAGCCCGTTGTGGAGCTGTGGTTCAGCATCTCTCTATGATTCCTGGAAGACGGGAAAAGCAGGGACAATATTTCCTGCGATTCTAATCCGTGCAGACAAACAGTTCAGTATGGTATGCGGACACAGCATTTAAACATTTGCTATCTCCAGCTAAAATGTAAACCGCTTAAGGGTTTGTGGTCGGATGTGCTGTTCTGTTTGCATAGCATCTTAGATAAGGTTGGAAAACGTTCTTTCTGGCTTGGCATGGTGGCACATGCCTGTGATCTCAGTTCTCGGAAGGGCAGGGGAAAAGGATTGCATGTCTGAGACCTGCTTGGGCTGGATAGCAAACATCTGCGTGCATTTTTCCCTTTCTTTAAAAGGGTAAAAACTTTATCCTTTTAAGTTTACTAAAAGGCGACATATTGCATTTCCTAAACCAATGTACAAAGTTTGCATTTAAATCTCCCAGGGATGGAGAAATGACTCAGTGACTACAGAACTTGCAGGGCAAGTGTGAGGGGCTGAGCTTGACTCCTCAGGACCCACGTGACCCGGGGCCGTGCACACAGCTGTAGCCCTCAGACCCACGTGACCCGGGGCACTGTGCACACAGCTGCAGCCCTCAGAACCCACGTGACCCGGGGCACTGTGCACACAGCTGTAGCCCTCAGAACCACGTGACCCGGGGCACAGTAGGAAGGGAAATGGAGACAGAGGAACCCGAGGGCCAGTGAGCCTGGCACACACAAGGTGCGGAAGAACAGAAGCCCATCTCAAACAAGGCAGAAGGTGAGGACTGATGGCAAGAGCTGACCTCTGACCTCCACAGCACAGAGCCTTTGTGAGAGACCTGCACGCGCGCGCGCGCGCGCACACACACACACACACACACACACACACACACACACACACCACATCACATGCAACAAACACACACACAACTCTTAAGAAGTTTTTTGAAGTTATCTAAGTGAGGCTTCACACACTTGTAAATCCACCCCCTGCGAGGCTGAAACAGGAGGATTTGGACATTTAAGACCCATCTGAGCCACACAGCAAGACCCTGCCTTACCCATTCAATCAGTCTGCCTCTGGTGTATGTTCCTACATACGTTATGACACCAGGGTACGAACAGATTTTAATATAGAGACATTAACAGTGACAAGACACAGCAATGCTTACAAAGCACTGTCACAGGTGCAATTTTACTTCATCCTCGAGAGATCTGTTTTATCTGTGTGTGTGTGTATGCACACGCGCACACACCCGTGTGTGTTGTTTTGAGATAGGTTTTGTTGTCCCTACTTTACAGTGCAGAAAACTGAGACCTGCAGAGTTTGCTAAACGTTCCAAGTAACACTCAAGGGGAACAACAGAGTCAGCTTTAGAACCCATTTCTCCCACCCTCCAACTCAATCCTCTCAATTACTCTACATTTTCAGACCTTAAACAGTTGTAGACTATATGGCTTCCCACCCTTGGCCTTCCAGTAGTCTCTGCCCCATTCCTTACTAATTATACAATGCTTATGTGATTCTAATTTTTAAAAATATTTTAGATGTATCTGTTTTATTTTATGTGAATGAATGTTTTCCCTCTGTGTATGTATGTTCACTAACAGCATGTCTGGTGTCCATGGAAGTCAGATCTCCTGGAAATGGAGCTATGGATGGCTGTCATTCATAGTGTGTGTGATGGGAATCGAACCCAGCCCTACACAAGAGTAACAAGCACTCTTAATTTCTTAGCAATCCCTCCAGTCTCCATTTTTTTTTGAGACAAGGTTTCACTATACAGCACCAGCTAGCCTGGGACTCACTCTGTCAAGTTGTCCTGAAACTCAGAGATCTGCCTGTCTTTGCCTCCCCAATACTGGAAGTAGACATGGGCCTCTGTGGTCTATGAAATGTTGATAGCAAGTCATTAATTATACAATTAGAGCTGATCTGAGTGTCTCTGCTCTGCACATTAATATAACGAGAACAATCACAGCCCCCTCTGCTATGAAGAATAGATAGTAACTCTACCCAACAACTCCAGATATGATACATTAAGAGCTAGTGTAGATCCTCGGGGCCAGATAGGCCTTAACACAAAGTAGCTCCATTTTCCTCAATATGAGAATTTGGAGGCTTAGCGTGCAAAGAACATGTTTTCTTTCAAGCAAATGTCTAGGTTCAAGGTCACAGCTATGAACGCCTCCACACCCACACAGGGCCGCCTGCTTGGGCAGGGAGTGCCCTCACTTCCCACTTGCCTGTTTGAAATAAATGGAGTAGGAACATTCCTCTCCCCAAAGGGGCACATTTCTCTCTGGCTCATTCAGCCCCCTCTTAGGACTTTGTGCCCTTTGCTGACACAGAGTTTTCGTGTAGGAAGAAAGAACAATTTTTCTATAAAGATTCCTGGTGCAGATCAGAGGCTATTTTACCGTAAAAGGAGCAAAATTACGCATCTTCTTTAATGTCAACCAGATGATTTTCTCCTTTGCGTTTTTCAGCTTTTGCTTATAATTCCAAAGAATTTCCGAGCAGCACAGGGCATATCTTGGCACTGTACACAGCTTTGCCACAGTCAATAGTGTTTGCTGGCATGAGTATTCTGGCTGCACCTTTTAAAGTTTCAGAATCTCATTTTCCGTGAACCCCTTACCCGTGGCACTGTAGCTCACAAACTGTGATGTGTATTTGAATGACAGAGCCTTAGAGCTGGGCAAATTGACTAGGGGCCTGCAGACAGTTTCTGTAAAGGCCGAGATGATTTAAGTTAGGCCTGTGGGTCTCTCAGCTTTGATTTGCTACAGCGACTTGCATCTGTGTCCCTGGCTTGAGAGGAAGGATAGCTGATCCTGGTACATGCTCTGGTTGCATGTGTTCCCCAAAGTTCCAGGGCGACGTGCTAACAAGTCTGACCTTTGGGAGGACTCAGATCATCGAGCTTCTTTATAGAGTAATGAACCAATGGGGTATCTCAGAATGACTTCATTGTAAAATGAGCTCTCTATTCCGCTTGCTCAGTCACATGGTCTTATGTGTTCCTTCAGGGTATGGTGCAGCTGGGCAGATGCAGGTGCTCTGCTCACGGATGTCCCAGGTCTGTGAGCAAAGTGAGCATCTATTCTTTTTAAACCACCCTGTCTGTATTTTGCATCTAGTAACAGATGACAGGCCAAAAAGGCTCAGTGTGTTTCAATAAAGCATCATTGTTTCTGGCCTGTGGCTGCTAGACGCATCTTACAACAGAGGTCCCTCTGCATAGAGATTTACAGCCTTAGCCAGCTTTAACCCAACCAATGTCTGATCAGTCTATTAACCACAGCAAAAGCCCCAAGTAGCCATGTTTACTGAGCATCTTGTGAGCAGACAAGCCCATCGGAACCTGGAGGCTGTGTTTGCTGTGTGTGTGCAGTATTGGTTTGAAGGAGCTCATTTTCCAGACTGATACGGGCTATTGCTCTTTGGCACTGAAGCTATTTTGATGTGGGGATCAGAATGAACTCTTATTGACATGTGAGGTAGTGTGATAAAAAGGTTACAACAACAACTTGCCCAATTGCAACTGGGAGCATTTTTTACTTTCTAGTCCTTCATTTTTTCCTCAGGAGACCCTGACTGTGTGAGCCTTTGTTTGACTACGACAGTAAAACTGGAACACATTCCTTACTTCTTGTCACCATCTACCCACTGAGAGAAATTCCCCCATGAGCCTCAGTTAGGCTTAGGGTTGATTTGGGTGGCAGGAGTGGGTACGAGGTGTGTGTGAGTGTGTGAGTGTGTGTGTGAGTGAGTGTGTGTGAACATGAACGTAGAGGCCAGGGTTGGCATCTCCACCTTATTTTGGGGGCTCTCACTAAATGTGGGACTTCCCAGTTAGGCTGGACTAACTAGGCAACACGATCTGCCCATCTCCACCCCATCTCAAGGATTGTGTGTCCACCATTACACTTGGCCTTTTAGTGGGTGCTTGGGGGCCAAACTCAGGTCCTTGAGCTTGCACAGCAGTCACCTTATGACTGAGCTATATCCTCAAGTCTTTGGGGTTGGCTTCACTAGGGAACATTACTTGAAGGGTCTGCTGGTAAGCATTTTGTGTGCCTTCCTTTTCACTTTTTCTGGAGTTATGTGGGCACTAGTATGGAGTGTAGGTTTTTTCCTTGCCAGTCACCTGGGCCCTGCTGCATTGTCTGAACCCCCAAACAACTCACAGGACACTTTATTAATTATAAAGCTGTTGGCCGTTTGCTTGGTTTCTTACTGGCTAGCTCTAATTTAAGTATTTAACCCATAATTGTTAATCTAAGTATTTCTCTTACCGGAGAAAGGGTCTGGACCTCTTACTCCTCTGGAGGCTACTTGGTGTCTCTCTCTGCCTCTCTTTCCCAGAATCCTCCTCGACTCCTAGTCCCACCTATCTTGCTTCCCTATTGGCCAACAGTGCTTTCTTTATTCAACAACCAATAAGACACAGATTTCAGAATGACATCTCCCATTATCTCCTCTTTTCTGTCTAAATAAAAAGAAAGGTTTTGACTTTAACAGAGTCAAATTATATGTAACAGAACAGTTATCAAGTAAGGACTATAGTTACAATTTTTAGTCCATTAACGTTTATTAAGATTTAAAGAAAATATCATCTATCCTATCTTTGTGAGTCTAAAGTCTTATATGTAACTTACCTTTTATCATAACTAAGGAAAACTATGATTATAACTATCTGCCTTCAACTCCATCAAAGACCACAGAAGGATAATATATAAACACTAGGATTGACAGAGACATCTTGCTACCTGGACACTCACCTGAAGTTCCACTGAAACGTTGGGGCCCAAGTGATTCAACAGCTAAAACAGCTAAGATGCAACCTTACAAAAACAATGACTTAGCCAGGTTTATGAGTTTTGTCATGATCCCCATGGTATGGATAGCGCCCCTATCAGCAGGAAGCAGTTTCGAGTGAGCAACGTCCAAATTCCCATATTGTTTATAAATCTTTGTTTTCATTTGAATGGGGCTGCTTATAATTGATTAATGATCACTATCAATCTCTTTTTAAAGGTAAAAGGAAATTATGGTCTGGAAATGAAAACTTTGTATTGGTATGTTTTTTCATTTATTGATACAAATTCAAGGTGAATTTTGTGATGTGTATATTTCTCCTCTTGATTAAGTATTGTGCTTATACTGATCTTTTAAAATGTAATGCATAATTAAATACAGATTATAGATAGTTACTTATAGTAGAATTTATAGTTAGGTTAGTTAGGTTTTCTAGATAAAGAGGTATATTTAAGATAGATAGATAGTCTTCAAACTTTTCAAAGACCTTCAGAAAATGGCATTTAAAATGGTTTAGGCTTTTTCTTGACAATGAGAAATGTCTGCTCCTGGCAGCACTAATTATGTCTGAGAGGAAGATGGACATCGAAGAAACTTGTTATGGAGTTTGCTTTCAACATGGCAAGATTAGCCATTTGGGCAAGAAACTGCTCTTGCCTAGACTGTTTGACTGTTGCTGTATAAACTGGACATACAGGACCCACAGAAAAGTACTACTGAATTTGGACAGTCTTAAAAGGGTTCCTGCTTCATGGAAGAGTCTGCCAGACTTTCAGCAGGACACAGAAAAATGACTGACAGACTGCCAATGCAGATGGACAGTTTGAAACTTTCTGCTTTGCTGAGATGTATTCCAGACACACTGTGGCCTATGGGCTGAAGATGGATGCCCCATAATTAATAAAGTGTCCTGTGAGTTGTTTGGGGGTTCAGACAATGCAGCAGGGCCCGGGTGACTGGCAAGGAAAAAAACTACACTCCACACACTAGTATGTGAGTCTTTTTATGGCCATTAGGCTAAACCCTAGCATGTTGACTGCTCTAAAGAAGAAGCACCAACCAAGGCCCCTGTGGCTTCAGTGTTGTCATTCTGGGGCACAGAGCCTGTAGGAGTCAACAGTTACCAGACTGTCCCACTACAGCTCCAGTTACCAGAGAGGACCTCTGACTCACCGGGTTTACACTGTAGAGAGCCATAGATCTCAGAAATTCACTTCCAATTGAATCACAGGAATAATCCTTTCTAAAGGGACTGTCCTGTGGGATTCATGGAAAGAGCAGACACAGATGGCGCAAATAAAAAGACTTCAATAGAATGGAAAGAAACACACCTGCTGTGGTGGCAGTATGTGCATCTAATTCCATATTCGGGTGACAGAGGCAAAGGATGACAAGCCATCCTAAGCTACACAGTGATATACTATATCAATTAAAAGCAAAAAGCAAGCAAACAAACAACTCCCTCCCCAAAAGTGTACAAGGGCTAGGAGCCAGCTGGATGACTTATTGAGTGAGGACACTTTCCACCAATCCTGGCAACTCAAGCTCAATCCTCTGGATCCTCATGGTGGACAGAAAGCAGAGGCATCGCATGAGGCTGGTCTTGCTACCCCCATGCATGTGCCATGATACTCATGTCCCCTGCTTGACACAAACACACGTAAAATAAGCGCATAATATAAGAAAAGTAAAGGCCAGGGATGTGACTCAGTGGCAGAGCCCCAGTACTTTAAAAATATTAACCAGTTGAGCTGGGTGGCTGTGGTACCTGTCTTTCATCTCAGAACTCTGGAGGCAGAGGCAGGCAAACTCTGTGAGTCCCAGGCCAGCCTGGTGTGCAGAGCAAGTTCCAGGACAACCAGGGATACACACAAAGAAAGCCTGTCTCAAAAAACCCAAATATATATGTTAACCAGTTGAGCTTTACTTCAGTAGCACAGGAACTAAAGTCAGAATGTAGCAGGTTGATTTGGCTCTGTGTAAGTGTGACTTTCATGGTGCTGGGGAAAATATCTGTGAGAAGGAGAATGAAGATCTCCTTAACAAAACCTTAACAAAAATCAATATAATTAAAAATGAACCAAGGACCTTTATGGGAGGTTTGCATGTACTAAACTGCTAGAGGGAGATGTCGAGCATGTGAGCATGTTGAGATGCAGATCCAGGAAAGGACTCTTTTAAAAAATTTTTTTAAATTTAAATTAGAAACAGGCTTGTTTTACATGTCAGTTCCAGTTCCCTCTCCTTCCCCTCCTCCCCTGCCTCCTACCAACCCCCTATCTCATTCCCTTTCTGCTCCCCAGGGAGGGTGAAGCCTTCCATGGGGGATCTTCAAAGTCTCTCATATCATTTGGAGCAGGGCCTAGACCCTCCCTCGTGTGTCTAGGCTGAGAGAGTATCCTTCTATGTGGATTGGGCTCCCAAAGTCCACTCATGTACTAAGGATAAATACCGATCCACTACCAGAAGCCCCATAGATGGCCCAGCTCTTCTAACTGACATCCATGTTCAGGGGGTCTGGGTCGGTCCTATCAGTCTGGGGTCCTTGAGCTCCCCTTTGTTCAGGTTAGCTGTTTCTGTGGGTCTCTCCGGCCTGGTCTTGACCCCTTTGCTCATCACTCCTCTTCCTCTACAACTGGATTCCAGGAGTTCCGTACAGTGTTTAGCTGTGAGTGTCTGCCTCTGCTTCCATCAATCACTGGATGAAGGCTCTAGGATAGCATATAAGGTAGTCATCAATCTCATTATAGGGGAAGGGCATTTAAGGTAGCCTCTCTACTATTGCTTAGATTGCTAGTTGGGGTCACCCTTGTAGATCTCTGAACATTTCCCTAGTGCCATATTTCTCTTTAAACCTATAATGGCTCCCTCTATTATGGTATCTCTTTTCTTCTCTCCTCTATTCTTCCCCTGACTCAATCTTCATACTCCCTCATGTCTTCCTCTCACCTCCTCTTCTCCCCTTCTCTTTCTCCTAACTCCCTCCCCTCTTGCTCCCATTTTACTCAAGAGATCTTGTCCCTTTCCCCTTCTCTTGGTTACCATGAGAAGCCATGGTTAGGGTCCTCTTCGTTTCCTAGCTTCTCTGGTGGTGTCAATTGTAGGCTGGTAACAGGAAAGGACTCTTTTTTTGTTTTTTGTTTTTTTTGAGACAGGGTTTCTCTGTGGCTTTGGAGGCTGTCCTGGAACTAGCTCTTGTAGACCAGGTTGGTCTCGAACTCACAGAGATCCGCCTGCCTTTGCCTCCCGAGTGCTGGGATTAAATACGTGTGCCACCAATGCTCGGCAGGAAAGGACTCTTAAAAGGACCTCAGTAGCTTGGGAAATAATAGCAAGAATTATGTCTGGGTTGGTGGTGCCTGCCTACAGTGTCAGCATTTGGTAGGCAAAAGCCTGAGAACTTGCATGACATACATACTGAGTTCCAGAACTGTCATGGCTACATGATAAAATTATGTCTTAAAAAAAGTATGTATGTGGAGACTTCATGAAATTAGAAAGCTTCCAAACAAGGTGTGGTGGCTCATGTGTATTGTCCCTAAAGTTGGGAGGCTTGGGCAGGAGAGCTGGCAGGAGTGTCAGCCCAGGTTGGGCTATACAGTAACTTCCAGACTTGCCCGGGCTACAACGCCTAGGCTTTAAGCAGAAAGCAAGAAAAACAAAGACCTTAAATTACCAAGACAAACCAAAACAACAACCACAACAAAAATGCTTCCCAGCAAAGGAAACTAGTAATAGGTTGCTGCCTTCAGAAGAAGAGAAAGTCTTCAATAGCCATGTGGCTGATATTGATACACAAAGTACATTCATCTCTGAAACTGAAGTCCCTCCTATAATATGTGTGCATCATAATTTAATTGACAGTTGATAGTGAGTTGGGTGTCAGGTTGTGGTATTTTTTTGGTTTGGTTTTTTTAAATTTTTTTCTCTTAGGACAAAAAAAACCCCACAACTTATAGTCAAAGACATCTGGTATTCAATAAAATATGTCACAGAAATCCATGAAGTGCTCTGACAAATTGCCCCAAACTGTGTTACCTATCCTATTTGTCACCTAACCTCAAGAGATTTCCTTTCATAGCACCCTGGATGCTTTTTGATAAAAGTCTTCATTCAGTTTTCACGAGTAAGAATTCAAACCTTTAATTTTTTGCCACAGTGTGTGTGTATGTGTGTGTGTGTGTATACATGTGTTCATGTATGTGTGCAAGCCTGAAGTTTACAGTGAGTATAATCCCTATCTGCTGAGCCATCTCCTGGACCCCCAAAGCTTACATTTTAAATGCATTCCAGCCTCTTAAGAAATCATTGGTATTTTTATTTCCATATACCCAGTTACAGTATTCAATAAATACTTCCCAGTGTTACCCACCTCTATTTTCCATTACTGTCTTCTTTACTATCCCATCCAAGAAGCTGTAAGTTATGAAAGAAGCTTTAGTTCTGTGGAAAGGGTGATTTTGGTCTGTGGCCTGTTTAGTCACTAATTAGATGCGTGCCTAATGTGTCCCTCAGCTATTAGATGAGGGAGATATTTGCTTCACAGTTATACATGGGCTAGTGGGGCCATGCAGGTAGAGAAGCCTTAACATTTCTGCGTCCTAGAATCTGATGGAACAGCTAGGTCTCAGTTTCCCTCTGTAATTTTCCTCAAAACAAGAGAGGAAGTCTTTAAAGGTGCACTGGATTACTTCCTGTTCATCCACATGATGGTCAAGGAGATTTCTATCCTTCAAATATCCACACAGCATGGTGAACAACGTGAGACACTATTGTGTCTGACTGCATCCAGTTTCCAGTGAGAATGTGAACACCTTTGCTTTAAATGTTGCTGTCCCTCACGTTGCCCTGTAGAAGTGTCTGTGGATTCCTAGGGAAGGCTAGTCTTGATGCCTTCAAGGCAGTGCTAGCTTGTACTTGACACTGTGAGAGTCTTTAAGTGTTATCAGAGACAAGCTCCCCTTTGTTCGCTTTAAGTCATAATCATTCATTAGTGGTTTTCTTCCTTTTTTTAATTTTAAACTTTGTGCTTTCCTGGGTATCTAAACCAATAAAGCTACATTTGTCTTTTTCTTGCCTTTAGCCTAAAAGTAGGGTGGGGAGTGGACATTGTCACCATAGATGCTTAGCACCCGATTTGTGCCCGGTTTACACCTGTCATGGGATCTCCTGTGGGCTTCTCCTGGAGATCAGATTGGATTCTGTGTGAGATGAAGATACTGAGGCAGTTGTCAGGGATGGGAGAACCAAAGCTGGACCCAATTCCTTCCTACATTCAAAGCTCGTGTCTTCAGTGTGGACTCAAAACTTGTGGGGCAGAGCACTGCTGAAGGCAGAACCCAGGGCCTTGTTCATGACTGACACGTGCTCGAGCCCGCACTGCAGCTCCTGCTGCACTGCAGCTCCTGTCTGCTTCAAGCCTTTTTCCTTTCGACTTTTGCTTTTGTCTGTGCATAAGGACCAAAGGGAGCGAAGATGTGGTATTTGAGCAAGCATTTGACATTCTGCTGTTTGCTTCTCTGGTGTGTATGTGTGTGTGAGAGCGTGTGCGTGTGTCTGTGTCCTCTGGGGCCAGAAGAGGGTGTCTGATCCTCTGCCCACTGGAGCTGCAGGCAGCGGTCAGCCACACAGGTGGGTGCTGGGAACCACACCTGGGTCCTCACGAAGAACAGCAAGCGCGCCCTTCCCCTCTCGGCCATCTCCCAGCCCCGCTTTTCTGTTACCGTTTCATTTCAGCTTTACTCTGGAAAATGAACCATTCAGTGGGTTGTTTGCTTTTTACACCTTCCTGGCACCTGTCCAGATTCTTATGGCATCACAGAAGTATCTGCCCAGAGGCATCCCACGAAGAAGAGCAACTAGAGAAGGCTAGAAGATAAATTACATGAATGTGTTGCTACAGACCTGCTAATAAAACCTGCAACAGGAGGAAAGCAGAGGGCGTGATCTGTTGGCAAGACTATTTAGTTCCAACTATCAAGGACTAAAACCACAAAGAACATATTATTTCTTTAAACTTTAAAGGAACAGAGACTTGCCAGAAAGGAAAACAAAAAAAAAAAGTTTTCTAATGCTGAGAACTTACTTATATAAACTCACAAAGAAAGATTTTCTTCTTCTTTTTCTTTTTTTTTTTCCTTTGGAGTATATTTTCTTTGGACAATCAACGAAGCTTGCATTCTACATTGGTCAAAGTAATCTAAGATTAGGGCTTATCAGATATAACCCTTACAATGTAGTTGTTTTGCATATCACAGCTGCTTGATGTTTATGCTGGCTGCTGAATAGCTTTACCACATTTGTAGTCAAGTTTAGAATTTTAACTGTCATTACTTTTCTCACCCATGACATAAATTCCACTTTGAGAAGGCCGCATATGAAGGAGGAAGAAAGTAGATTCCAAATTTAATTTGATTCCTTAAGTTCTCAGACATGGAAAATGTTTCTTTCCAAAAATTATGCCAATTAAATGATTTAAGTCACAAAGGAAAATTGGAATTTCTAGAATAAATTTGGACGAATAAAGTGTAGAAAGTTTATTATTATTTAGAGGAAAGAAAGAACGCATCTAAAAAGTTGGGGGCGAAGTCGGGCATAGTGGTTGGTGTATACCTTTAACTGCAGTACTTGGGAGGCAGAGGCAAGCGGTTCTGAGTGAGTTCGAGGTCAGCCAGATCTATATCGTAATTTTCAGGACAGCCCGAGCTAAGCTGGGGGCGCGATGTCGCTTAGAGGTAGGGCCTTGTACTGGACAGGGTCTGGGTTCCATCCTCAGCACCGCAAGAACTAGCGAGCAGTGCAAACAAATAAAAACTTCCAGCATCAGACAAACACTTTAGAGTGCAAGTTATTTTTAAAAATAGTATTGGTGAGGGTTCCCTTGGGAAAATCAGCTTTGACAGAAAGCAGGGCACAGTTTCTACTCCATCATTTCCTTCCTATTCATTTATTTGTCCCTTAAGTGGAGCGAAGTGGCATTTTCCTGGCGGAGAAAAGGTCGCTTTAAAATGTTACAGGAAGATACTGTTGGCTCCTGTGTGCCCGGCAGAGCCTTCGAGAGTTGGTAAAGCAGTAGTTTGGGAAAAACCTCCTGAGGACTTTCTAGAGCGAACTAGGGCTCCCGGGTGCTCTGGATGGCTTTGGGGTGCACACACGCACTGGCTTCAAAACTGAAGAGGCAGAGTTTGGAGCCGGGAAAAGTGGCCAACCGGGCCAGCTGCGCGCCAGTGAGCACCTGCTTGGTGGCTCTCCGGGCCGGGCCGGAGCTGGCTGGGCACTGCGGGCTGGCGGCCGGGAGCGGAGGCTCGTCCCACCTGGGCCCGAGCGCCACCCGCCCAGAGCCCGCCACCCGCCCAGAACCCGCCGGGCGTGCAGCCAGGGCGGCCGAGGGGCGGCGCGGAAAGGCGGAGGGCCGGGGGCGGGGGCTGTAGCTGTCGGAGGAGCTGAGCGCCGGCAGGAGGCTCAGGCTGGGTCGGGTCGCAGGTGCCACGGCAGCTCTGGCCATGAGGACCCTGTGGATGGTGCTGTGCGCACTGGCACGGTTGTGGCCCGGGGCCCTGGCTGGTTGCACAGAGGCCGGGCGCTGCTGCCCTGGTCGGGACCCAGCCTGCTTCGCTCGCGGCTGGAGGGTGGACAGGGTCTACGGAACGTGCTTCTGCGATCAAGCCTGCCGGCTCACCGGGGACTGCTGCTTCGACTACGACAGGGCGTGTCCAGGTGGGTGGCTGGGCCCGGGGAGGGGCCACAAGCCCTGTACACCCCAGCCGTCGAGCAGAAGGCAGGGCGCAGGACCACTAGAAGCCAGGAGTCTTCTGATTGCTTCTAGTCCAGGCCGGTCTCAGCCTCCCAATCCCAGTACCCCCAGCTGGGTCCCTAGGTTTCTGGGTCCTCTTCACTTAACATCTCCTTTTGTAGGCCACCTCTGGGGATGAATTCTGTGACTCAAGAACTCCAGCTGCATAGAGTCACCTGGGGCCTGGAAGGGTGTTGCGGACAGTTTTCAGGGTGTGTCTCTGGGCCAGCCTTCACTATACTTATCCTGTCCGCCTCATAGATCGAGTTTGGAGTTCAAGAAGGGTGATGGGAACAAACAGGAAGGTGTGACTAGCCCACTTTGTGCTAAGCTTGTCCTTGGGGGGTGAGGTGAGGGCTTAAGGCTCTCAGAGGTTGTGTGTTTGGCGGAGGGTTCCAATATGGATACTGCGGCCTCTGGTGAGGAGGGTTTCCATGCGCTCCAGAACTGTCCTTAGGATGTTCCCGCCTCAGGTCTCAGGTCTCCAGTGTTTTCATCGACCAGCTTTCCTTAGAGCGAGGCGTTTTCTCATTTAAGTTCCCCATAGCATCTCAGTTCAGGGTTCAGTCAACAACGCTGGTTTAGTTGAATTTAAAGGTAAAGGGGAATGCAATCCTGAAAAACAAACGCTGCCGAAGAAGTCAGCTCTGGAAACAGAAGCAGCCTGCTTGTTGCCAATCACATGACATTGGTCCTCACTCGTGTCCTCAGCATCTTCTGGGGAGAGGGCCCACAGGATCCAGGAACAAGGCCTCTCTTGCCTCTGCTAAGAGCCTGTCAGCCCCCAGGCAGGCCAGTCATGCAGACCTGATACAGGAAGACCACAGCCGATTTACTGACTGAGGACTAAGTATTTACCTGTGGATAGGGATGCCCTTTTTCATATGTGTTTTTTTCCTGTCCCAGGACGCCTTGCCTCAGAGTAAAGGAGGCTGGGAAAGTCAATTATTCAGGAAATGCAGTTACTATAACCCTGACAGCACCTTAAACTGTGTGTCTCAGCCAGTTGAATAACTCAGCAACGCCATCTCGCCAGAATTTGGCTCTGAAACCACTCTTCCACCTACATGTTAAGTATGGAGTTCCTGTAGCCTACGGTTTGGCAAGCACAAGGATGAAATGGCACTGCAGATGCAGTCTCTGCTCCCTGGGAAGTCACCGTGCACCCAGAAACACAAGAACCCACATGTAACAGTAGAGTTGGTTCCCTCTTACCCTGGGGGACACTTTCCTTGATGAGTGGGGCATGCCTGACGCCATGTTTTGTTCTGCTTTTTTCTGTATGTCCTTTTGAGCAGTACCAGGGTTCATCTCCCTTTCATGTTTTATGTTCTAGTACTTTTGTGCACACCTTTTTTTTAAAGATTTATTTATTTATTACATATACAGTATTCTACCTACGTGCCAGAAGAGGGCACGAGATTGAATTGTAGATGGTTGTGAGCCATCACGTGGTTGCTGGGAATTGAACTCAGGACCCCTGAAAGAGCAGTCAGTGCTCTTAACCTCTGAGCCATCTCTCCAGCCCGTTCTAGTACTTTTGTGTTTTTACTTCTGCACTTCATGGTTCTATTTCAGTGAAATAAAGCCCCATAACATTACCACAGTGGCTGCGTTCACTGAGAGGGCAACTTACTTCACGGCTGTGGGCAGGCGGTGTGCACAGCACTGACGTCATGAACAGCGGATGAGTCATATTCTGAAAGGAGCACAGTAGCAGAGCAGTGTGAGGTCTCATGTTATTTGGAACTGCATCCATGTGAAACTTTACTATTTCCGGAATGTTCCATTTAATGCTTTCTGAGGTCCTAGGCAGTGAAACTAGGTGGGGGAGGGGACTATTTCCAAAAAACAGGTAATCTGGAAGACAGTCTGGAAGAAACACCTAGAATACCTGTAGGAAGTCTCATGACATCTCTGTCTAGTTGCCTCTGGAGGTCAGGGTGCTTCTGCGTGCCCCTGAAGCTAACAGAGTGAACATGGCAGATTGTGAACACAACCGGATATCCAGATCAGGCTCTCCAGAGGCATGGCAAGCCCAGGGGAATATAGTGAGAGGAATTTCCTGCTGTACTTGGAACTTGCTATGTAAATGTGGCTGGCCTCAAACTCTCAGAGATCCTCCTGCCTCTGCCTCTGGAGTGCTGGGTTAAAGGTGTGTCCTACCACACCTGACTCAATGGTTTCTAAGAGACCTGGCAGTGCTAGGCTAAATAACCCCCCCCCATCTTTATCTGGCCACAAAGAAATGCAATGCCCTCATTTTAGCTTGGGATGTAGAAATAGCAAAATCAATTATTTTGGACTGGGGATTTATTGGATAAATTCAGGAGATAAGTGAGTTTATCATCTCGTGAGGAGCTCTACAGCAAATCTGGTGGAAGGGTTATGGGCGATAGGTGGAGGAAAAGGGAGTGGTGTGGTGGGATTTCAAAGCATATCTGAGTCCTAAATGTACTTCCCTGGGGGTCAGCAGAGAGCTTGTAGGGTGCACAGAAGCAGGCTTGAGACCCACAAGGCTACTTGCTGGTACATGCTGTAGTCTGGTTTCCTGTGAAGAGAAGAAGGAAATAGAGGCCACTGGAAGCTGGCTACTTGGTGAGACTGAGCCTGCTTGTGCATTACAGCTAGGGATAAGAGCCAAGGGCAGGGCGGAGCTCACAGGCCCAGCCTCCTCAGCCCTGGGCAAGCTGACTTACTGTGGGTCAGGACTGTTGTGGGCCTGCCTCCACTGGCCAGAGCTAAATTTGCAACTAGAAACTGCCTGTGAGATCAACTCTTTGGCAGAATGCCTTTATTCTCATGGAATTTTCCCTCCAAATACTGATTATTTGTTTGTGATCTCCTTCCATCTGAAGTAGCCATAATGCCATGATTTTGTCCTTAGACTCAGAGAATCCTGGGTTTAACCTTTAACCTGCCATCTACTGGACTCATGACTTTGGAGAATGTGTGCCAGTCTCTTGGGGCTCAAAGTATCTCATGTGTAGAAGGAAAATGACAAGAACACAACAGGGACTGTCACGTGGTTACTAGCAGGCAACACCTACGAAGCCCAGAACTTGGTATATGGCAGGCTCTCCTGTAGTAACTGTACCATCATCACCTCGCAGCCGCAGTGGGCACTGCTACATAGTTCAGTTAATAACACTTACACAGCAATTTCAGGAATACACAGCATAGTTATTTCTGCTTGTTAATATTAAGCCACAACGGTCTACCCAGACATGGTGGCAAACACTTAAATCCCAGCACTCAGGAGGCTGAAGCCAGAGGATCAGAAGTCCCAGGTCTACCTGGTCTATGGAATAAATCTGAAACCAATGTGAGTAAGTTAGTTCAAAAATACATTCGCAGGGTGTAATTTAATGGTAGAGCATTTGTCTAGTGTGAGTAGGTCTTGAGTATGGTCACCAGCACCACTATTTTTCTTTTTGCAAAAATCTACCCTGGACCCTGGGGAGAGAAGACAGCCAAATATATGTTGATGTTTATCTTACATAGCACGTCTGCCTAAGATCAGAGAAGTCCTGAAGGCCGAGACTCATCCGACCACTCAAGGGTGTTGGGAAAAGTGTAGCTGCCCTGTGTTACCATTTTACAAGTACCAAAGCTGAGGCGTGCAAGGCTCCTACCTCCCGACTTCACATGAATGAGGGTAGAGCAAGGCTCCTACCTCCCGACTTCACATGAATGAGGGTAGAGCAAGGCTCCTACCTCCCGACTTCACATGAATGAGGGTAGAGCAAGGCTCCTACCTCCCGACTTCACATGAATGAGGGTAGAGCAAGGCTCCTACCTCCCGACTTCACATGAATGAGGGTAGAGCAAGGCTCCTACCTCCCGACTTCACATGAATGAGGGTAGAGCAAGGCTCCTACCTCCCGACTTCACATGAATGAGGGTAGAGCAAGGCTCCTACCTCCCGACTTCACATGAATGAGGGTGGAGCGAAGGCTGGGAGCACAGGGCTTTCTGATCTCAGGTTGCTACCAGACACCTCTTTTAATGGACTCTGTAGTGACTACGTACACCTTCCTGAATACTGCAAATTCCAGTCTTTAGAGTCCCAGGTTACTCAGTACTCAGAATCACCTCACCTCCTATAGTCTCTTTGCCCAAGGTTATGCTCTCTATCTTACTTTCTGAAGCCCTTTGCCCTGAAGACATGTCCTCTTGATGAAAAGTGTAACTGTGTCTGTATGACTAAGCACACTGATTCCTTCATCCCCATAATACATTTGGGGTAGTTGTGGCAAAGAGATGGAATATTGCATTTCTTTATCTAAGTTGAAAGGTTTTGTTTTTTAAAATTGAAAGTTTTTTCCTCTTATGTAAAAATAAAAACTATTCTAACCCTGGGGACCCTTAGATGAAAGAAATATCCTTATTGGACAAGTAAAATAAAAATGTATGGGACCTATAGAATAAGTGAGTCGTCAAAGAAATCCATTCTGAAATGAATTATTTCAAAAAACAACATTTTGGTGGTGGCATTGGTTTAATACCAATAATATATCATAAGTCTCTTCATTTCCTACAAAAAATAAGTTAACAATAAAATAGTTGCTGGGTGGTGGTGGTGGTGATATATGCATTTGACCCCAGCACTTGGTAGGCAGAGGCAGGAGGATCTCTGAGTTTGAAGCCCTGGTTTATACAGTGAGTTCCAGGACAGCCAGGGCTACAGAGAGACACTCTACACCCCAAAAGAAAACAAAACCACCATCACCACCACCACCACCACCAAAACAATCTCCTTTGGGTATATATAAAACAGCAGAAGAGGGACAAATCCAGATCCAAGTTACTCTGCCATGGGATAACTTAGTGGAAGTTATGCTTGTCCAGCGCCTCTCCCAAGTTGCTAACTCAGGAGCTGGGTTCCTATGGACTTCATGCTAATAAGTAGTGGGCTGTATTG